AAACTTCGGTCTTGTCATTTTTCCTCTGTCTATAGTGAGATGTTCTTTAAGGAAGTCTTTCCTTGAAAACTTAAAACAGTGAGTGGAATGTATGCGCCCTTTCTTCTAGAAAAATAGGCTCTGCATTTAAGACACATCTAGTAAATCAGCAGAAACATATATCTAAAATACATTGGATAGAAATTTAAATAATTTCTATTTCAAAGGAGTAGAAGAAGTGTTATAGGTAAACAATTAATAGTTGGTGAGCAAAATCTGGGTTTGTAAATTGAACAGCTTAGCTTAGTTATGCACTATTTAAAGTGTCATAGAAGAGATCTAACTTTAATGGTTTTTTAAAGTGTATTCCAAATTTCTCAGAAACAGAGAAAAAAAATGACTAGATTGTAAATAGGAACAATTACATGTTAGATAAGTCGAAATATCTTCATGCAGAGAGGAAAAATAGTCATTGTAGATATTAGTATTTTAAGTTGACTCTTTTAGGAAAGCAGGAGTTAAATTCTTTTAAGAAAAGAGAATCTATGTGACAAACTATCACTGAAACAATTTGAAATTCAAAAAATAAGCATAGCTCTTGAAAAATCATGTGATTTTCTGAAATATCAAAATACTTAATATTACCATTGAAATTAGGTTAATGTAATCGATTATATTTGGAAGCACTGTGACAGCACACTTGAAGAGTCAACAGTATTCATTAAAATTCAGTTAATTGTTTTTCTTTTTTAAAATTAAAACACAACTTTCCAGAAGCTACATTAGTATATAGCAGTGTCCTGGATAAAGATGGATCGGGAGATCTATGTTTTCTAAAGCCTAAATATTTCTTCATATGTGTATATATATATATTTTGTTGTTGAAAACCTCTTGAGCTGCTTCAATGCAAAATATTTTTCTGTATCTGTTATGTCTGTAGAACTGTGGGAAGGCTGAAGATGAAGCTAGGGAAGGAAAACAGCAGCAAAGCACACACAAACACGAGGCCACCTGGCTGTTTGCCATCATACATGACATTCAATTATTTTAGAACTTTTTCATGAGAGTTTCCCCTCCACCCAACTTCCCCTCCCCTCTCCAAATCCTTTGCTTTTCTACATTTGGCATAGCTCATCTGATTCAGCACGCATTTTTCCTAGCTTTGCTTATGTGCCTCAAACTCTCACCACAAAAAGAAGTGCTAAGATTAACATTCTTGCAATCCTATCTTGACATTTCCACTATTACTATATACATGTGACATTTCTTTCAATAAATTGGGAAAGAAACTAGAGTGGTCTACACATTGCTTCAACTGCTGCTTTGATGTATGTACTACAAATATTTTTCATTTCCCAAAATATGTTCTCATGGGGGAAAGGGGCATTAAAAGGAGCTTTTAGGCCATGAGAATTTTTTTTTTTAAATGTAAAATAAGTCAAGTTGACAGACAGCCAATCCCTCATCTGAACTTGACTTATCTGAACTTACCTTTGGGGGACAGGGCAAATAGTCATTTCAGAGGACCTTTCAATTAGCTTTAATGTATTCAATTACCTTTACTCTAGGCTCTGAAGGGAATAAAACGAAACTTTTAAAAAACATTCCAAATCACTGCGTTTGGGAAGTTGGCACCTAGCAACAATAGATCGGTTACTGGAATATTAGACATAGCTTTAAATGGGAGCATCAGAGTCACATCACAAAATAATCTTCCCACTGTGTCAGCATCCTATCCTGGCAGAGAAACGAGAAGAAAATACTGGTTTAAGAAATCTGAGATTTGAACCTGAAATAGGTCTCGTTAGCCCTTATCCTTTGACATTCTGGACTCTGCATGTTTTTTCCTAAAGCCCTCCCCAGGCTTTGTATCCCAGTTTATAAAGGACATGTTAGGAGGCATCAATGGCTACACAGCTAGAGATCTAAAATTGCTGGAATCCTTGGATATCCTACATGTTGTTGTTATTTAAAAAAAAAAAAACTTATGGCTCCCCCTCTCTATCCCTCACCTCATCACCTCCTTCCTGCAAAAGTTTTTATTCCAGACAGATTTCTTCACTGGCATGATGTATGGAAAGAGGTGGATACTCTCAACGGTGGACTAGAAAGGTGAAGCAAAGAAGGGAATGCTAGCCTGGGGCGGATGGGCTGAGCCTGCTGAAATATAGCCCCCTGTTAGAACCTGGCTGAACAAACTAGATCTCTCTTGCCAGCTGATGACTCTTCAGAACACTGGTCCCTAGGGCCCTGGTCAGGCCAATTGGTGAGGGTTAGAATAAGGATTGAAGATAAGGAACAGTCTTTAAAAGCCTACTGAGGAGGAAAGAACCATGCCGGTCTGGGTATAGTAGCTGAAAGTATTTATCAATGTTCTATGGTCAATTTCCAAGAAGGTTATCCTCAAAGCATCAGGCAGAAAAGAGTTCAGGTATATCTCAGGGAAGGTGGACAGTCTCCAATCAGATTTCTTCTCCCTTCTTGCAACTTCCAGAAATCATTTCATTATTACTGTTTTAATTAGTATTATTTTAAATTTAGTATTAATGCTTCAATGGCTAGAGCTGTGTCATTACCATAAACTACATCTCAACCTCTCAAAATCCATTTAATGCAGCTCTTGGAATCAGCGACCCAGCTTCTTGCCAAAAACTGCAGATTAAGCATTCGTTATGGGAGTTTGCCATTAGCTGTTCCCTTTGTTATGGGCACATGTGGTTACATGTCCCAAAACACACAGTATTCCGTGTAATGGATTTGCATTTCCAGGGGGCATCTAGGGATATTAAGTGGCAGTTGGTGACACCTTGCACCCATCTATCCAACCACTATCACCAAAAGTGGGCTTGAGGTCTGGGGTTGGAAACGGGTTTAGTAAGCAGCTGCCCTCCTCACTCCCCTGTACTCTCCTCTTTGAGCTGAACCTTTATTGGTATACAAGTTCTCTAGAGCTTGCATCATATGTCTTTCATTTAAAAGGCATTGGATGCTTTTCTGGGAATTTGGGACTCTTAGGATGCTTATTTATAAACAAGCTGACATAGTTCCACGGCATAACTAAGTTTATAGCTAGGAGTTGTTTGTATATTTCCTCAAGTCAACAAGACATTGTACCTGCTGCTGTGAATTTTTGGTAAACCAATTAAACAACTATGTCTCATCCTCCCAGTGTTTATTAGAGAAAGTCAGATTTTCAGAATATCTGAAGGCAAGGTACAGGGGCGATAGGAGAAAATCGAAAACCATGGACCCCTAGAAGTCCAAGCGTTCTGGACCGCCCAGGAACCGACTAGAAAGTGGCCAGGAAGCGCGCACACAGCTTCTCCTCGTCTTCTGTGCCTTAAACCTCTCACCAGCGTTCCCTTGGGTGGCCTTTTTTTTTTTTTTTTTTTTTTGGCAAGGATGCCAGCTTTAGTGTTTCCGAGCCTTGACGCACTCTCATTTTCTTCCGAAGGTCAGTTCCAGAAAGCTGTTATTTGTTGGAGCCCCCTTGACATTTAACGAATACTTCTTGGTGCTGGAGGCACGTCTCAGAGGCATTAATAATGTACATTAAAAGTTATATACTTCCAAGCCTAGTGTCTACTTCCCAGAACCTAAGGGAGCGCTCAAGGCCACGCTCAGCCACGTGAACTGAAGTTGCGAGTCTCCCTCGGGAGCAGCCTTTCCCGAGAAGGGAGCTCACCGCTCCCACACCAAGAGACCCGATCTGGGTGTTTAGCCCTGTCGAGTTTTTAGGGTGGTGCTGAGGGGCGCGACGCTCCATGATTATTCGCCCCCAAGCTCCTGCCAGTTCTGCCCTCGAAGAGGGTCCACCAGTGAGGCGCAGGTCAGCCAAGACCCCGAAAAGGGTGGAAATCCCGAACCTATCCGATTGCTCCCCAACGTTACACTTGGCCTCGCACCCGAGTGGCGGTTGCCAGGCCTGCCCAAGGCTGATGATCTGGGAAAACGCAGCGGGCGCTGCGAAGGGCTGTGCGCAAAAGGCTGTCGGGACCCGCGAGCTGAGTCCACCCTGGCAAGCCGCAATCCTTAGTTCCCAGTTTTGGGGCGCTTTCCACCCAATGTGCCCATGCAAAAGGCCTACTGCAAATGGCTGCCTTTTCATGCTCCAGGCGCTAAAAACACGTTTCCCAAAGATGCCACGGGGTCCTGGGAAGCTGTGGCCAGGCCCAACGCCTCACCGAGGGCTTTGAACCCCGCAGTGCTGCCCTGCCCTCAGGGAGCCGCCAGCTCCCGCCGCCCGACAGTCCCCTCCCGCGGAAAGGCCGACGCTGGCCCTGCGGGCGCCCGGGACGCCGCCCGCCTGCGCGCCGGGCCGCGCGCGCCCCTGGCTTCCCCGCTCGCTCTCAACCTAACTGCACCGCGACTCTTCGAAAGTAAAAATACCAATATCTAGAAAACCAGGCTGAAGGCCTCCCTCTTCTTCGTAAACTCCTTTGTGTAAGAACCCGCTCTCTGCCCTAGACGAAGGCTAGACTGAGGGGCCTCTGGAGGATCTTTTGCTCTCGGTTTTCTTAAACTAGGTGGACCTAGTGGTGGAATCGTGGACCTCGGAAGGGGTGGGAAGGCGGGCGGGGGAATAGGTGGATATTGGCATAAGGGTTTCAATGCCTCCTGCTCCGCTTCCTTCTCCCACCCACCACCACCCCGTCCACACGCCGCCGCGTTCCAGACAGAAAGGAAAGGCCAGGGGTTCCTGAGCGCCGCGCGCGCCAGGGCGCCGAGCTCCTCCGGGTTAGAAGCAGAAGCGGCCCCTGTAGCACGGCCGTCCCGGCTAATAGCTGCCAACGCATCCGGCTTCTTGGGCTCTGGATTAATGTGGCTCTTCCACATAAACGATTTACGGATGCAAGAAAAGCCCTCTAGAGCAATGCTTCCTTTCGAGCTCTTAAGACGCCTCTAAATCTTTCTGGGAGTGAGAGGCCGGCGTGGGGGCGGGGTGGGGATCGGTGCCCAGCAGGCGCCCGGGGAGGCACAGAGAGCGGGGAGTGGAGGGTTAACTGCTTTGCGATCTCACCAAGCTCTTCCGAAATGCCAGTCCACTGTCGCGGCGACAATGTTTCTGGTGGTCGGGGCCTCGTCCCTCCTGGCATTTGTCTGAAATGGAGCTGTCTGTCTAACCTAGGCCTGGACGCGCCCTGCCCGGGTAAGTGGGGGGAAGGTGGGGGTGGGGTGGGGGCGGAGGGGACCCGGGGTGGAGTTAGTCGCCTGCCTATTTTCATATTCATTAGAGCTGGGAGGTTGCCCGTGGAGCGCAGCTGAGTTTCAAGATATAAAAGCAACTTCGGGTGCCCCCTCTCCAGCCGGGACGTATTAAAGGGCTCGGAGCCGGGCAGCTGCAGGCGCCGCAGCGCTCGATTCCCCTTCCCTCCTCTCGGCCCTCCCTCCCTCCCTCCGCCCATTCGCTCCCTCCCCCAGCGCGCTCGGGTCTCCGCGCCCCCGGAGCTCCGCGACAGCCTTCCAGGATTATGGAGTTTCTGAGCGAGAAGTTTGCCCTCAAGAGCCCGCCGAGTAAAAACAGTGACTTTTACATGGGCGCAGGAGGCGCGTTGGAGCACGTTATGGAGACGCTGGACAATGAGTCCTTTTACAGCAAAGCGTCGGCGGGCAAATGCGTGCAGGCCTTCGGGCCCCTGCCTCGCGCCGAGCATCACGTGCGCTTGGAGAGGACCTCGCCCTGTCAGGACAGCAGCGGTGAGTCGCCAGCCCCAGCCCGAGCCGCGGCGGCCCGCGCGTAAATCCGAGGTGCGGGGACCCGTCGGGAGGGAAGGAGAAGCGGAGCCAGAAGCTGCAAGGCGCGGGGAGGCAGGGGGATGCCGCGCCTTTTAGGAAGAGGTGTTACAGCCGCCGCAGACTTTTGGGGGGCAGAGAAAGGGTCCGGCACAGGGGTGCCTATGCGCGATTTTTCTTCAGCTGTCCTGTCTTGTCTCCCCCCACCCCCACCCAAGGGAGTCCCTCTGTCCAGCACCAGGGCGCAAAGTGATAGGGCGCAAAGTGATAGGGCGCTAAACAGAGCGTAATTGAGTCGGGGCAGCGAGCTTCCCCCGCGAGCCCGCCGCGCAGCCCCGGCAGGCGGAGCTGAAATCGATCACAGCTCGTTAGAGGATGTCACTGTCGTTACGAAAAAGAAAATTGAGGTGAAAAACATCTTTCTTTTTTAAAATTTCCAAGACGTAGGGACAGTTTTGTCTTTGGGAAGTTGGAGGGTTGCTAGATTAGTGTACGTGGATTTGGGGTTTTCTGCTTACTTGGATTTGCAATACAACGCACGTACTTTTTTTTTTTTTGGTTAAACACCAATTCGCTTTAAATAGCTTCCGACAAGAAGCTCCCATATAATCAGTCACTCCCGAATTCTGCATTGTCTGTTTTCCTGACTCCACATTAAAAGTCCACCTAAGAAGCCTTTTGGAATGCTTCTGGGTGAAATCTTCAACTTTGAATGACCAAGCATCTCAAAGTCAAAATGTTATCAAAACAAACCATCTATCTTTTCTATCTTGTAACCCAATACAAACCTATTTTTTTCAGATCGCGACAGCTAAAGCAAGTTTACAATTCCAAGAGGACTTTTCCTTATCATTGTATATATTCCACAGTTAAGCTGTAAGGAGCGGGTTGCTTTAAAATAACAAACGAATTAAGTGTGAAATATTTACAACAAGCCTCCCGCCCCCTATTTTAACGGAGGTTTCAAATCTGGCGAGGCATTAGCTCATGGAGGTCGTCTTTTAAATACTTCGTACGTAAGAAACTTAAAAAAATATATGTCGTATATTTTACTTATTTTATTCAGCGTTGTAAGTTCCTGTTGGCTTGTAAGGTTAAATACAAAATTAAAACACAAAGGATAGAGTCAGTTAGGTTTTCTCACTCATTTGTTTAGAACGATGCGAGAAATTTTTATTTTAATACACTGAATTTTTGACTTTCTAGCTGTATTTCAGGTCGCAGTACCTTTAATTTTGGGATTCGTAAACGTATACATAAAATTATTTGAACGGTCAGAATTTTAATAACATGGTTCTGTAATATCCTGTGTTGACTGCTAGATAGGACTCAATCATAGTATTTTAAATTGTCGGGGATCCTAACTAAGAAGAGAAATAGGTCATTTTTGATACTTATCAGCTTTTAAACGAACATTACACTGTTGGAATGAATTTTAATAAGAAAGTATCGAGGAAGATGAATGTAGGTAGCAGTCCGCTAAATTTGGGCAAGTTTCTGTCTTTCTCCTGAGATGCCCTTAGCCTCAAGACTGTTTCCCCTCCCCCATTCCTAATTACCGCAGTTCCCCATTTAACTTTGCCCGTGGAGACAAAACGGTATTGTTAATCAGTCATGGCTCTTCTTTATATTTAGTTTTACAGCACATCTTCTTTTGCATAAAAGCTTTTGGGCATTTAAGTTATATAGGCATTTAGGCATTTGTAGGATGATTAAAGGACTTGTAAAGTGAATTATAAAATCATTTAAAAACAAACAAAATGAAAAAAAGAATGATAGTCATCGGAAATTATTGCTGACTAGGTTGACTTTACTTTTTTTAAAAAAGTCTTCCATTTCATTACGTCCTTGGCATGTGTGTGTGTGTGTGATACCCTATGATAATTTTTTTGTTTTCTATCATATGCAAGCATGCAGTTGAATCTGCAGGAAGTCCCTGAAATTAAAACATCCCTAAACAGACCGCCAGATGACATCTTTTGTAATATTTTAATAAATATTTTAACTTCTGTGCTTTAGTACAGGGGAAAAATAAAAACTTTGTTTTTGGAGCATATTTCATTAGGTGAGAATAAATATGACATTTAGAAAGAGCTGCATGAGAGTTTTGAAGTAAAGAAGCATACTTAAATTTCATTCTTTTCTTTAGAAAGCATTGCCAGAAAATTGATTTGAAATTCATCTTTTAATTTAGTAAATTGCTTTTTGAAAAAAATTTAAATGCAAATATTTGAAAAACAATAGTAACACCATACCTTAAATCTGTCAGTCCTTAGTTTTTCTATGGAGATGAAGCTAACTTTAGGGGGAGAGTTTGGATTTTGATTTACAGATAACTTAAAATTAAAACAGCTTTCCCAAGCCATGCAAGCAGTTTAAAATCTGTCTGCTGTGAACAAATGTATGATTTACATTAAACTTTTTGCTTTTCAAAAATTTTGCTCACTTTGGAGTTTATTTTTAAATCTAGAGGATCTTAATTTGACTACTTTAATATGATTATAATTATGTGTTAAATATTATATTAACTCTGTAGTGTAAAGTGAATTGTGAATTGTAACAGACTGTGAAGTCCACATACACAATTTTAAATAGTTTTAAACCTGTCAAAAGTGAATTAATATTTGTATATAATATGATGATCAAATTAAAACTGGCACAGTAAATCATTAACAGACCGCTTTTCTCATGCTCCAAATTACTTCAACTTAATTCCTTCATCAAGATGTTTCATAATCTTGAGCATTCTATTTTCCCTTTCTGGGTACAGTGAACTATGGGATCACTAAAGTAGAAGGACAGCCTCTTCACACCGAACTGAATAGAGCCATGGACAACTGTAACAGCCTCCGGATGTCTCCTGTGAAAGGGATGCCGGAGAAGGGAGAACTGGATGAACTTGGGGATAAATGTGACAGCAATGTATCCAGCAGTAAGAAGCGGAGACACCGAACCACCTTCACCAGCTTGCAGCTGGAGGAGTTGGAGAAGGTCTTTCAGAAAACCCATTATCCAGATGTGTATGTCAGAGAACAGCTGGCTCTGAGGACAGAGCTCACTGAGGCCAGGGTCCAGGTAGGAGTCAGATGGACTTGTTTATTTTGGGGTGGGAGGGAAGAGTGGAAATAACTTTAGAATAATTCAGCAGTTGCATTTTGCCACAAAGAAACTGATTCTCCAAATGAATATATAGACAATATAATAAATATATCCATGTATGTCTACTAAAATTTCTTTTTATTTGCAAAGGATTTAACAACTTGCACAAATACATTAAACAAGAACACTTAAGAAGCTCCATACATATAAAAATTAATTATTATTTAAAAAGAACAGAACAGAATAGCATAACATAGCTCTCATTTTTAAAAGTAGTTTTTAAAGGGCAGAATCAGAACTATAGCAATACAATCCAGTAATCAATGTATTTTTTTCCTTTTCAATAAGTCATTGAGATTCATTTTAGGTTATAGAACAGATATTGTTATTTCAGTAATAGTCTATAAATCTATAATTTTATTGAGGTTGAAATTACACTAAAACAAAGAAAAAATTAAACTCACAAATTCCCAATTAATTATATGTATATTCATAACCTATCTTTATATAATTAAAAATCATATAGCTTATTTACAAATTTGTAGCCATCATTATTGCCAATAGTGCCATCTTATTATATTTTTAAAGTCTAGATAATTTATATGTTTTTTCCAGAACAGGAATAATGAACTTAAAATGAATTTTAATATATACTTTATGAAAGTTGTGCTGAAATTATCAAATTGGATGATTCAAAATACTGATTTTTAAATCACTTTTAAAAACAAAAATTATATAGGGTAAAATTCTCTCTCTTTGGTATATCTTGTTTTTACTATATTTCATATTTGTAAGCTATATTTTATTAGTTGCCAAGTAAGATTAATTCAGGAGATGGCTTTTTCTCTTTGTATGTGTGTGTCTTTACCACTATAAATATGAAAATGAATTGTGTGATTCCCACACACCAGTAAAATAGATAAATGAATAAAATAGTGAAAAATTTTTTCTTTATGAGTAATAGTATTTCATGACAAGATGAAGCCATTGTAAGCTCTTAAATCATTAAAGACAACATCTGGTAGTGCAGGAATAACCAGCTGCAGTTTTTTGCTTTGGTCTGTGAAGGCAAATGATTATTTTATCTCAGTTGAAGAATTAAAGATATAGAAAGTTGGGCTAATGAAAAATTTTAGAATTGTCAAATGTTAGCACAAGACCTGCATGTATATTTTTGTCTTGTGTTCATATATCTAAATTACTTGTATATATAACCATAGAAAAATAAATTTACCAGCAGTGATCAGCTGTGCACACTGCATGTTTTTCCCTTTATATTTCATCAAGGCCTGATTAATTTT